CGAGACCTTCACAGTCAGTGAGGTTGGAAACGCTGTGGACATTCAGTGGCGGACGGTAGCAGACGGTGGCAGACGATAGCCTTCGGTGGCCAATGAGATCAGTAGTTTCCAGACAATCGCAGCCGATGGAGCAGGCGATATCCGAGAGCAGACGATGTGCCAGAGGCGTGGCAGTCGCCTATGCAAACCAATCGGAAACAAATAAAAGTACAAAAAAACATCCCTCATAATGTTCGCATCAGCGCTCGCCGAAGTCAGGGGTCGAATCGTGCCAGGGGCGCGAACCAACTCCGCGGGGTTCTCGCCTTCCTTCACTTCTCTCGGCAGGAAACACAAGCGGCCCATCCTCATGCTCGCAGACATCGCGCCTTCCAGAAGCATCATGCATCTCAGAATTCACTTCAAACAGATTGCCAGCAGCTCCCCTGCCTCCCAACATCCACAAGGAATCCCATCCTCCCCTGGGGCAGAGTGGCGTCTATGGCAAACACTATCAACAAAGGAATCGGCGTCCAATCGCCAAGAAGCATAACCAACTTGCATGACTTGCACATGCTCCAGGATCTCAGGCCAGAGAAAACAATCGGGCCCCTGATGCGCGAAGACTGGCTCCCATGTGTTGCGGAAGGCAGCGGCCGACTCATCCGGAGACGGGCAGTCATGGCCGTCGGGGCCAAATATTTCCCCCCAAAAAAGTATCTCCTACGCATCTTAACCAAAACTCTCCGCAAGGGTTGGATCCGTGCTATCCTCTTGCTCTTCGCCTTGTCCTCCTCCTCGCACGCGTCCGCGCCCCGCTCCTCCTTCTCATGCCGAGTCTTTCAATGCCTGTATCAGCGCCCCCTTGCCAACAAAGTCCGAGCAACAGGTTCCAAATGCCAGAGCAACTGGGGCTAGGCCCTCGCAGCCTTGACGCGCGCAGCGAGACGGCCCAAGTCCGCCATCCTCCCTGCGCCATTCATGCAAGGCGCAGCCTCTCACGCTGGGACTTTGCAGGGCGAAAACGCAAACGGGACTTGAAATTCGGAGCCATATGCCGGGGGGCCATCTTGACCCCGCCGAATCCAACCACGGGGGAGAGCCTCCGATCAATCCGCCGATCCCTTGGGGTTCAATCGGCGCGCGAAGTGCCCCCCCCCCCAAACCCCTCCCCCGTGGGCCCAGCCCGGTCGATTCGGAAGGGAGGCGGGGGGGGGCCCGGGGCCCGGGCGAACACACCCAGGGGGGCAGAGGGCGCCAAAAGAAAGCCAAAAGGGCCCCGAGAGGCCCCAGGGGCGGTCCACCAGGGCCACGAGTCGCTGACGGATCGGCCCAAAACGCCCGCGCCGGCCTCTGGACAGCCCAGGTGGTCTCCAAGACGCCGCGAGAAACCCCCAGGAGGCCTCCCAGGAACCCCCCAGGGCCCAAAATCGCCAATTGCCCCTGGGAAACGTGCACTTTTAGCACATTCGCCTCCTGGGCGTTCTCGTCGTCCCGGTCGGGCCAAAACGCTTTCAAGATCGCCGCAAGACGGGCCAAGAAACCCCCAATACGGCCCAGGAGGGCGCCAGGACAGCCCCAGGAGGGGGCCCAGGCGGGGAGCGCGAACGGACATTTCGAGTCCCCCACCCAAAACGCATCCGGGCTGCCTCAAGAAACCCCCGACAAGCCCCCGCGGGGGCCCAATAGGGGTGCAAAAAAAAAACACCGAAGAGGCCCCCAGGATGCCCCCAAGAGGTCCAAAAACTGCCTCCAAAACGCCCTCGAGACGCCCCCCCGAGCGGCCTCAGACCCGAAGCCCGGGCTCGGTGGCGGGATGCGCCGAAGGCGATTCGATAATCATTCTTCGGGTGTTTTGAAAGATGCCCGCCGACCGAGCGCGCGGACTCTCGCCCATGCCCCCGCGCGCGCGGCGAACGCTCAGGGCCCCGACCCAAGAGGCGCCGAACAAACCCCTCAAGGCCCCCATGGAGTCCCAAAGGAGCCACAAGAAGCAAACGAAGGGCGAACGAGAGCCCTCGGGCGCAACGCGAAACAACCGACAGTTCCCCGCGGGGCGGCGGTTTTGGCGAAATCCCAAGAATCTCCTGGAGCGCGGTGCAACTCATGTTTGGAAATCCATTTGGACATCTGGGGGGGCGAGGCGGCGGGGGGCCCGCTCGAAATGGCGGCAACAACGGGGACATGGTCAGATGGCGCACAGGCCCCGACGGCGTTGACCGTGACCAGGAAATCATTCAGGACGAGGGCAGAGAGAGATGTAGAGAGGTGTAGATGCGATCGAACCGAGCCGCGCCGCGCGCCGCGCTTGCGAATGCACCCCCCCTGGTCGGATCAGATTGCTGCGGCTCTGCCCGGGACCCACGTTCCGAGGCGAAAGCATTTGTCTGCTGCCGATCTCCAGTTGACCAAATCCTAGATGTCCTACTCCGCCTTGTTCGACCTCCATGAAATTCCACCCCCCCTGCCATAATTCACATCGCATGAGCAGCCAGGAAATCATTCAGGACGAGGGCAGAGA